GTATGTTCCTTTTTACTTTGGAAGTTCCTTCATGAATAAGTTCCAGAGTATCCCAGGTGTCCTTCGCAGTTTCACATCCTTGTATTTGTTCGAATTCATCAGGACTGACACTACTGAAAATGATTGATAAAGCCTTCTGATTCATAGCCGAGTCTTTCTTCTCTTGAGCTGTCCATTGATTTTTTGGCTTCGTTACTATAGCTCAATCAATGACATCAGTTGGTCGAGTCCATCCATCAGTGACAGCACTCCACGTATCTTCATCAAGGCCACGAATATAGGAGCTGAACTTCACTTTCCAATGTCCATAGTTGGTTGAGTCAAGCATAGTAGTTTTTCCAAACGATTGTGAATCTTTGAACCCTTCCATTGTGTGAAACTGAATCGTACACCGATATGAGGGGAAAACTTTCCTGCGATCAGTGACCTGCTCTGATACCAATTGAAAAAACACACACACACAATATTGCGAAATAAGAATTCTCAAACTGATTCTATTTCTTTGATAAGAGTCAAGTACACTTCAAAGCTTTCCAAGTAATACTCACTCACACTCGTTCCACTCCCCCTGAGCAGCATCTCGTATCACAAGAAATTCTATCAGCCCCCAAACACACTGTGTGCAGCGCACACCCCGTGTTACCCCAGATCTAGTCTAGGCCCAGTAAAGTGTTCACCTGTTGTTTCAAGGCTCCCCCTCAAGTGTACCTCACTTTCTCTCAGATCACTCTCACCAGTATTTCCCGTACAAGAACTCTTAACCTTATTACAGAAACCTTTTCTCGAATCTTATTCTCGCCAAGTTCTGTAATGGAGTCTTACACCCCTTATAAACTCCTTCTTGTGATTGTCGTAATATCCTCTCAATATTTGTCTTGCCTTTTCTTCATTGATATAAATATCATGTTTCCTTTTCTTGCTTCTTTCCATGTTCGCTTTCCAAATTCAGCTCCAACCTTCCATTTGTCAATTCGACCTTCTAGATGTTGAATATGCTCTTTCCTTGCTTTAACAATATATTCGTAAATGATATAGTATATGAATTGGTAAAGTATATAGTGTGTTTGATGAAGTATATACTTGTATTTAGTAGTAAAATTTAAGTATAGAAACACAATATGGGCGTGTTAATTTCAACACAGACAGTGTTAGATGCGTGGTAATTCCAACATGGGTAGTGTTAGATTCAACACAAACCGTGTCAATTCTTTGAGAAAATATTATTTTTTTGCTACATTTGATACGGTCGTCTTACGTGCAATACGGATCGTGTCAATTCTCTAAGATAATGTTATTTTTGCACAGACATTTAACACGGACCGTATCGGTTTCGACACGGATCGTGTTAAATATCTGGAACATGAACAAATACGACTTTTGCATAAAAACTACTAAATTGATATAACTTTTGATGGCGTCTCTAGTGGTTTATAACACAGAAATGTATGATAATGTTGGATATACGAAATCTAATAGTTTTTTGAGAGATTTGTGAGCCATTTTGGTGAATAAACTTGCTATTTCTTCTCCGTCTTTTACTGTTCATCATTTTTCTCGGGTTTTTCTGTTTTGGGTAATTTTTTACGAGTAAATCAATCGTTGCTGATATTTTTTTATATCTCTAAACGTATTCTCGGATTTCTTTTTTGTTCGGTGGAGAGGGAATAACGTTTTTAAAAAATAAAATCATACCTAAAAAAATCATATCTGGATTCATCTAATTCTTTATTGTTTTTCGATTCTGTTTTTTTCGTTCGTTTTCTTTCTTTTTTATCCAGACCCATCCATTTTCTAACATGTATATATGTAAATATGTATATATGTATGTATGTATGTATGTATGTAGAGAATATATTATGCGATTGTGCATGTCAGTTACATATAGACGCTGGAATCTGATGGCGGTTGGACTCATGTCACCACATGTAACGTAGCGCATACAAAAACAAAAACTTTTTCTTTTGGAATCTTATAAAATTAATTACGAGACTTTTATCTTTGGTTAGCCCATATATATATATACACGGTCTCTTGATTACATATTAGATAATAGTTATTTTATTAATTACTTTTGTAATTCAATATAAAAAATATATAGTCAATATAAAGATATGATTTCCCGTGCTGACGCGGATTGAAGTCGTATGTTGGTTGGTGGAATAAGATTTCTTTGTTTCTTCTAGAATTATTATAACCACATAATATTTCCATAGTGATAATATTTATTTTTGCACAAAACTGCAGATTAATCTCGTTTTTTTTCTTTCTATATATATATACTCTTAAAATAACAGATAACTTCACATTTAACTGAATATTTATTTTCTGAATACAATTTTTTATTAAATTATTTTCACATTTATTTCAAATTCAAATTAGCTATACTTTATATTTTTTTATTTTGTTTAAAAATTATTAACCTGTAAACTAAATGAGCTATATTTTGGATATCCACCTGATAAATTCTCAATAGGTATATATTTCGTAAAGAGAACTAAAATTTAAAAAATAAAAAACCTAACACAATTGAAAAGATGCTTCATGCATATAACTTGATGATGATTCTAAATCTCTCCAATAATTCTCACCGAACCCACCAAGCAACTTATAGATAGAATTATGATTATATAACATTCAATCTTAAAATGTAAAGTAACACTCACCGACCAAAAGAACAATGTAAATATGTTAACCGAAAGAACTTTTTCCTTTTTTACTAATCATGGAATAATAAATGGCAAATAAAATAAGAGATATATAATTATAAGCATAGAATGTAATTGGGAGTCCATTACATATATCTACTCACACATATATATGTGTGTGTATGTATATATAATATATATATATATATATATTATGAGATGTAAGCGTCAAGGTGAGTCACTTCCAGGTGTTAGGGCACATGTAAACAATGGACCCATCTGTTCCTTTTTTTTTGCATTTAAGAGATAAAGTTTAATCATTTTTTCCAATTTGAATTTTAAATTCAAAACTATTTTAAAGTTTTGGTTAATTAAAGATGTCCCAAAATTACAATTTCACCAAACATAGAATAGTAACAGCTCAACCACACAAACCCCATCATCCATGGTCTTGGTTTAGTTTTATGGTAAACTGATGTTATCTCGTGACTTATCACTTTCACCTACCAATCTTACTATATAAATACATGTATTCATACGTGTACGTGTGCAATACAGTATAATTATATCAAATTTGGTACCAATGCTTCGTTTTTTTTTAAAAATAAAAATATCTCAGTTCTATTCCAATTAATCCTTTGGTGTATATATAATATAATATGTGTTTTGTCACGGAAAATATGGTGTTTCATCTAATACGTATTTTCCCTTACCATATGTATAGATTTTATTTTCACTAATTACCACATCTATTTAACTTTTACTTTTTACTCATGTTGGTTGATTCGGTTAAATGTTCCTCGACTCAACAAACTTCGACCAACCGTAGATGGTTCGTCACTATGTGTAATCCAAAATCCAACAGCAATATGAGTATTTATAAAATAAGGCATGACGACTTTTTTTTCTTTTCCTTTTTCAATTTAAAAAGTAAAAACAAATAAAATTTTACATATTATTATAATTTCTGATTTTTATTATGTATATATCTATATGACACAAATACTATGTTAAATTTAACAATTTCAAGTTTAGATTTTATATATAAATTATGGTTATGGTAATCTCGAGGTAAAGCAGGCCATGTGGCATCGACTTTCTAACCTGCTAAAACTAAAAGTTTCATGCATGCATGTATGTTAAAAACATCATCAGTGCATGCCATAGGATTTATTTTTGTATTTATTTTCAGGGCACCCCACGTTTCGTCCATCCCGAGAATTTTATTACTTTGTATTGCAAAAATTAAAAAAAAAATAAAGTTTATTAATTTTCTATTTTTATGAAAATAGGGAACACTTTGCTTAATCGGTTCCTTCCCTTGCGTTGGAATTGTAAAAAACCTAAACTTGTAGGTGAAGGATTGTGAAACCTCATAAAAAAAGAACTGGAGAATCAATGAATTTAAATTTAAACACTCTATTTATGGGTTTTTATATATATTATCCTCCCAAAATTATTTTTTAATTAGTTTAAACTATAAATAATTATGCTACAAAGTAAGATTTTTTACATCAATCGACTATCCAGTTTTTATTAATCGGATGGGTTACTTGAACTATTGTTTGCTTGTTTATCTTTCCATTACATGACACACAAAAACAAAGATACCATTATTACAGATGAATTTATCTCGATCGATAAATCTAAACAAAATTATTAATTTTAATATCTGTGAATATTTTTATAATCCATGCACGAAATAGGTTATTTGAACCGATCGAAATCGTAAAACCCAGGAAATAAAATCGTCTAATTATCGAAACAACGAAAAGAACAAAAAATAATACAATATTATAGGTCTGGATGTATATATGTACGCATATATAATGTTTACAAAAAAAATCCGTAGGATCTATTGAAAAAAAACGAATGGAGGGATGTAGGGTTGCGTAGCAGTGTGCGACACGTCATCTAATTAACTTTTTTCTCGAAATAACATAGAAAATTATAAATTAGAAATTATGATTAAGATTTGGTTATTGAGAAATTAAAAGAAAAAAAATAAAATCAGAAAGGTCGGTGCTCTGATACAAAGTATTGTCCTTTTCGATGCTAAATTATTACCCCATAATTTCATTCTTTTTAATTATATATATATATATATATATATATATATTGTGTGTTCTCCAGAATATCCCTGTCCGAGGAACTATATTAATATACATATACTAATATTTCATATTTTTATTTTTATTTTTATGCTTCTTCCTATGAAAAAGAATAAAAAATAATAATTTAAACAACAGTCATCATCATGATCTTATCATCATCATCATCATCATCATCGTCATTAGGAAAAACATTTGAAAATTTGAGAGAAACCCACATTTTTCATTGCCTATAAAATCAGCAAACCTCTAGCCATTTTGTTCCCCTTTCACTTCTCTTCACAAACATAACATAAACAAATTAAAAAAGAAATAATCTCAACAGAGGTTATAATTTAAGAACAGTGTATAAGGTACGTATGCGTATAAATCTACACGTACACATATATAAATATACGTGTATATATATATATGTCTGGTGATTAGTTTCTGCCATGTGCTATGGAATCAGCCTCTTATGCTTTATGTTCTGTTATTCCCCCCACCCTCATGTACAAATAATATTTATATAATATAAGCTACTAATAATATTCCGATTTCTTTACCAAATAATAATAATAATAATAATATTCTCATTGATTCCATCATCACATTCGCCCGTTCATATAAATATTCACTCGTACTCCCTCATTCCTCCATCCCCTTTTACCAGAGAGATTATTCGTTTTAATTCGAAACATTATTATATTCTTGGCGTAGGAGTGTACTGTTCTTCGGATAATCCACCAGATGGGCGAAGAAACTAAACCCGTAAGCTCCCAACCTTAGATTTCTTGAATACACACACACACACACACATATATATATATATATGTAAGCTCGTTTGGATGAACATTGAGCTCGTAGGAATGGCGAAAATGCCTATGTGTCAGTCTACTGTACGAGAACTAATGGATGGGTTTCTTGAGGATACAATGAATTTAGGTAGAAGGAAAGGCAGAGGAGGCACCTGCCCCTGAACCCGCTCCAGCTCCAGCTCCAGCTCCGGCGGAGGACGAGAAACAGCCGGCGGAAGAGGATAAACCGGCGGCGGAGGAGCCACCGCCACCTCCATCTCCGCCGCCGCCGTTTATGCTCTACGTGGACTTGCATTGCGTCGGATGCGCCAAAAAGATCGAGCGGTCCATTCTAAAGATTAGAGGTATATATATACACACGTGTACGATGTTATTTAACGCACGATGATGTTGTATAAAACATAGTATGAAGTTGATGTGTGTGTGTGTGTATGTATAGGTGTGGAGGGGGTGGTTATGGACATGAATGCGAACCAGGTGACTATAAAAGGAGTGGTGGATCCAGAAGCAGTGTGCAACAAGATCATGAAGAAGACGAAGCGACCGGCAAAGGTTCTTTCGCCCGCTCCGGCGGCGGAGGGGGAGCCTCTGCCGCCGATGATAACCTCTCAGGTTTCCGGCGTCACCACCGTCGAGCTTAACGTCAACATGCACTGCGAGGCCTGCGCCGATCAGCTCAAGAAGAAGATCCTCAAAATGAGAGGTATATACATGTATACAGTATACACACACACATATATACATACACCCATACATGTACTCGCACATTAACGAGATTTCTATTACGTGTATATAATGATACGGAACGGCAGGGGTACAGTCAGCAGTGACGGAGCATACGACCGGAAAAGTGACGGTGACGGGAACGATGGACGCCGAGAAGTTGGCGGATTATGTTTATCGGCGGACGAAGAAGCAGGCGAGAATCGTCCCTCAGCCGGAGCCGGAGCCGAAGCCCGAGTCTCCGGCAGAAAAACCGGCGGAGGAAGAGAGTAAAGGCGATGAAAAACCGGTGGAAGGAGGAGAGGAGAAGAAGGAAGACGGCGAAGGAAAGGAAGAGGAGGCCAATAAGGAAGGCGGCGGAGACGCAGGCGCAGCGGCGGCGGAGGTGGAAGGCGGAGGGATTCCGGCGGCGGCGGAGGAAGAAGGGATGAAGAGGATGGTGTATTATTACCAGCCTATGTACGTCATTGAACGGATTCCGCCGCCTCAGCTTTTCAGCGACGAGAATCCTAATGCTTGTTGCATTTCCTAGTTCTTGGTTTCAGGTTTCATATGGTTAATGTCGAATAATAAATAATAATAATAATATGTGTAACTGGTTCGTTTTTTATGATACAGTTTATGCACATCGAGTTATGTAATTGTAACCGCAACTATACAAAATCTGTTTTTATTAATATAAGAATACATATGTTGTCATCATGGTTTTTAGTGTACCGAATTTAATTATGATTTCATGATTTCTAAACATAAAACATAGAAATTATATTATCTTATATTCAATTCAAAATGTAATTGTATAACTTTGATATCATATGCTTTTCAATTATTGTGGTTTGAGTTTTAATATAATTCATGTAAATTAGACTTTGAAAAATAATAATAATTGGTACTTGGGGACAGGAGATTCTGGTGGGAAATGGGAGAGGGGCGTGGGTTGCACGTGGTGGGCTCCTACCCCTTTCTGATGTGGATCTTTCGCATCCCGACGTGGCAACTTTTTCATTTTGTCCCCTGTCTCCTTCTTACCAAATTTAAATAATTAAATATTTATATAAATACATTCTAATTTAAAACATTAAAATGATATACTAACCGTCAACGCTTTATAGGTACATACATGAGTCACAATGTCTATATTAAAATGTTTTTAGATTTTTTTCATTGATTAAAAAAAGGATAAGCAATTGGACTGGGCTGTAAGGGTTCTCTCAATTGGGCTGAACTAAGCTCTTTGGGCCAGCTTAGGTTTAATGAATATTTAAATAGTACTTCGGGGTAAGATAAATACTGTTCAAAATTTTCTAAATAAAATCTAAATTTTAAAATTTTGACATTTAGAACTCCAAATGTTTATATTTAAATAAATTTAAATTTGATAAATCACGTCAAATTTAATCTTAGACGCTGATATAATAATCCGACCGATGATGAAATAATTTTGTTTTTTATGGAGTAACAGCCATATTTAAAAAAAAAAAATTAAAAAAATCTAAAAAAATATTTTTTTCCTATATGTATATTTGTAAATATGTATCTATTGTGTATTATGTAAAGACATACATATATATACGTATATATATACATATATACCAATATATAATGTATATATATACATATATACACAATAGATACATATGTGTATATATCCAATATAGGTATACATGTATATATATAGGTATATATACAGGTATATATGTAATTTTATTTTTTTCTTTGACTTGTTAATTTTTAAAAAGGAAAAATACGATATGTTATATATCTATTATATGTCATATGACTTAACAACGTTTGGTCAAATTCAAAATTATCACATCATCATTCGAATTGTTATGTCAACGTTAGGATTAAATTTGACGTGATTTATAAAGTTTAGATTTTAATATAAATATTAGAGTTTGAACGACAAAAATAAATTTCAGGTTTTATTTATGGAAATTTGACAAGTTTATATTAATTTTCTTATTTTTTTAAAATTAAATAAATTTTTAACAAAATAGAAAATAATATTATTTATTTTTACCAAAATACTATCCATTTTTATTTTCTTGTATGCTCGTATTAATTTTTTTTTATTGAATTGTTTGCAGATTTTATTGGTTAAGATTAATAATCTGTAACATGAAAATAAAAAAATAAAAAATAAATATAGAGGAGAATTTTGCACAGTTTTTCCTGTATATTGGCATGTTTTTTATATACATATATACGGTTTAATTTAGTCATGCACGATTGTATATATTTATTATATATATATACATTGACAATTCGCTACATGTTTAATATATGTATGCTTGTGCGTGAAATTCAGTTTGGTATATATGCATACTGTATACATATTGGTTTGTGTATCATGTTTTGTCTTGAAGTGATTGTCACGATCATATACAGTGTCCGGCTTCATCTCTACAGAAATAAAAAAAACAAACAAATATTCGAACAGTAATATTCATTTTATTTTGAATATTTATTTTTTTAAGGCTAAATCAGCAGATTTGGAAATATGTCAATTCGTTTCAATTTTATTTTTTAAAAACGAAAATTTAGCTTTTGATTATGGGCATAAATCTAGAATTAAATATATGATTTTGATATTTATGTTTTAGAGAATTCAGTTTCAAATGAGATTTGGAAACGTATTCGTTTTGATTTAATTTTATTAAATGAGTGTATATCGAATATATTAGTTTCCGTTATACTTTTCGTTACAGATTTTATTTGATAATGTATTTGGGCTTGGCCCATTATATATATATATATATATATTTAAATAAGAGAATACGTTTTGAATATCCAACATAAAAGTTTTCGTACATTTTGATATAATTGGGTTTGGCCCATTAGTTTTTTCCTTTAATTATTATATATGTATATAAATAAAGGAATTGGACTTGAGTACATTACTTTAAAAGGATTATATATGTATATGATGGCAATTGGGTTTGACAGCCCATTATGGCTGCAAGTGCGCATGAACGTGTGCGACGAATGTCCCACCATAGATATTTTAGCAGAATTTGGTCGTGACAAATCAGGAGGAATAATGACAAATTATTCGATTAATATTCTATTCGATTAATTTGAGACATCACCTTGCCAAAGTAAGTTCTGAAGTCACAAATTCATCCATTCAAAGAATATTATAAAGAATATTTTTTATGTATAAATTTCATGCGGAAAATTTACCGACCCAAAGGAAGGAAATTTTTTGGCAGAAATTTATTACATATATTAAGTAATAAATCAGAATATCATAAAGATTACATATGATTATTGAATCGACCCAAAGGAAGGTTCAATAGATTATATGAGATATTCGTGATTTGATTACTATATCGAATATGCCACTTACAAGTTGATTTTCGATCTAAAGATATAACATCAATGTTGTATGGTGTATCGTATGTGTTGTCATTATTTGCATGAAAGACTGACTTTTTTTTTCTCTTTCTTTTCATTCAGCTATTACTACCGCAGCAAACATTTCAACTTCGCTGAATTCGGTCTCGATGCTTACGGGAAAAAATTTTAAGGCATGGAAAGAGAGCCTCATGATAGTTCTCGGTTGTATGGATATGGATTTGGCTATGCATGTTGTTGATGCTCCTGCTGATCTTACACCGGAAAGTACCGATGATCATAAAAAAGAACGTGAATGTTGGGAGCGTTCCAATCGCATGTGCCTTATGATCATGAAGCGTACAATTCCAGAGGTTTTCTGAGGTTCTATCTATGATGATGAGAACGCAAATAAGTTCATGAAAGCAGTAGCGACTCATTTTGAAAGAAATGAGAAGCATGAAACTAGCTCGCTTTTGATGAAACTTATTTCCAAAAGGTATAAGGGAAATGAGAACATTCGGGAATACATCATGGAGATGTCTGATCTTGCTTCACAGCTCAAGGCACTCAAGATAGATTTGTCTGATGACTTGGTAGTGCACTTGATATTGCTGTCTCTTCCTGTACAGTATGGATCCTTTAGGATCATATACACCTGTCAATAAACCAAATGGTCTCTTAACGAGCTCATTTCACATTGTGTGCAAGAAGAAGAGCGATTGAAGCTTGAAAAACCTGAAAGTGCTCACCTTGCGGTCTCTAGAAAGGACAAAAATAAGAAACGTCTTCAGAAAAAGGAAAGTGATGATGGTCCTGTCAAGAAGATGCAAAAAAAAAAAAAAACAGGATAAGAATGGTGCATGCTTTTTTTGTAAGAAGATGGGACACATGAAGAAGGATTGCACTGGCTATCATGGTTGACTTGCAAAGAAAGGTAAACTTCTTACTTTTGTTTATTCTGAAGTTAATTTAACTTCTGTACCACGATACACTTAGTGGATAAATTCTGGTGCTACTATTCACATAAGTGTATCAATGCAGGGTTGCCTAAGCCATCGGAAACCAAGTGATACTGAAAGATTCATCTATGTTGGCGACAGGAATAAAGTTGAAGTGGAGGCTATCTGCATTTTTAGATTATTATTGAGTTCTGATTTTTATTTGGATTTGGATGAGACATTTGTTGTACTGTCATTTAGACGGAATTTGGTTTCTATTTCTACATTGGACAAATTCGGTTATTCTTATTCCTTTGGAAATGGTTTATTTCGTCTTTTCCGTAATTCAAATTTACTTGGTACCGGTACTCTCTCTAGTCATGATAATCTATATGTGCTTGATACAAATATTTCATATAATGAAACCTTGCATGTTAAAACCCATGGTACAAAGAGAAAATTAGATGACAAGATTTCTGCAAACTTGTGGTATAAACGATTAGGTCACATATCCAAACAAAGGATAGAACGCTTAGTTGCAGATGAAATTCTTGATATACCCGATTTAACACATTTTCAAGTTTGTGTTGAATGTATTAAGGGAAAACAAACAAACCAAAGACGGTTAGGTGCAAACAGAAGCAGTGACGTGTTAGAACTAATACATACGGATATTTGTAGACCATTTCCTACGGCATCTTGGAATGGTCAACAATATTTCATTTTGTTCATAGACGATTACTCAAAATATGGATATTTGTACCTAATACACGAGAAGTCCCAAGCTTTGGACATGTTCAAATCCTATAAAGCTGAAGTTGAGAATCAACTGGGCAAAAAGATTAAAGCAGTAAGATCCGATCGTAGTGGCGAATACTATGGTCGCTATGATGGATCTGGTGAACAACTAGGGGTCCTTTTGCAAGATTCCTTGATGAATGTGGAATACTACCTCAGTATACCATGCCTGGAACTCCAAGTATGAACGTGTATCCGAACGTAGAAACAAGACTCTTAAAGATATGGTAAGGAGTATGATAAGTCACTCTACATTGCCAGAGTCATTATGGGGAGAAACGCTTAAAACCACTGCATATATCCTCAACAGAGTTCCTACAAAAGCAACTAAAAAGACTCCTTATGAGCTTTGGACGGGTAAGAAACCAATCCTAAAACATTTGCATGTATGGGGTTGCCCAGCAGAAGCAAGGCCTTACAAGCCATCAGAAAAGAAACTAGACCCGCGTACAATTAGTTGTTATTTTGTTAGGTATTCAGAAAAATCCAGGGGGTACAAGTTTTATGATCCTAAAAAACAGATCAATATTCGAAACTGGAACAACCCATTTCTTTGAGGATGCTGAGTTTGGGAGTAGAGATAAGGTACGAGAAGTTGCATTTGAGGAAGAATATGTTCAT